TGTAAAATATATATGCACTGTCAAACGAACAAAAATAGGGAAAACAATTCTGAAAAACAAGAATGGGCTGGGCGTGGTGGCTCATGCCTGTAATCCCATCACTTTGGGAAGCTAAGGCAGACAGATCACTTGAGCCCAGGAGTTTCAGGCCAACCTGGACGACATAGAGAGACCCTGTTTCTGGTGGGGAGCGGTGGCTCACACCTGTAATCCCAGTACTCTGGGAGGCCGAGGTAGGTAGATCATGAGGTCAGAAGATCGAGACCATTCTGGCCACCATGGCGAAATCCTGACTCTACTAAAAATACAAAAAAATTATCTGGGTGTGGTGGCACGTACCTGTAATCCCAAATACTTGGGAAACTGGGGCAGGAGAATCGCTTGAACCAGGGAGTCAGAGGTTGCAGTGAGCCAAGATGGGTCACTGTGCTCCAGTCTGGTGACACAGCAAGACTCTGTCTCAAAAAAAGAAAAAAAAAAAGGAGATCCAGTCTCTACCGGGTATGGTGGTGTGCCTGTGGTCCCAGCTACTTGGGAGGCTTGAGGTACGAAGACCTGCTTGAGCCTGAGGTCTCGAGGGTGCAGTGAGGTAGGATTTGTACCACTGCACTCCAACCTAGGCAACAGAATGAGACTGACTGTCTTTAAAAAAAAAAAAAAAAAAAAAAACAGAGGGGACAGGGCAGGGCAAAAGAAAAAGGAGAAAAGAAAAAGAAAAAAAAGAAAAAAAAAGGGAAGGAGGGAGGGAGGGAAAAGGAAAACAAATAAAAAGAAAAACAAGAATAAAGTTTGGCCAGGTACAGTGACACGCGCCTACAATCCCAGCGTCCAAGATAGGACGGTGTGAGACCAGGACTTTGAGACCACCCTGGGAAACATAGTGAGATTCTGTCTCTACGAAAATGAAAGAAAATAAGCTGAGCGTGATGGTGTGAACCTGTAGTCCCAGCTACTGGGGAGGCCGAGGTGGGAGGATCACTGGAGCCCACGGGTTTGAGGCTGCAGTGAGGTAGGGCTGCACTGTTGCACTCCAGCCTGGGTGACAGAGCAAGACACTATCTCTTAAAAAGAAATAAAAACATAACGCTGAGAACACAAAGTGCCCATGAGGATGTGGAGCAGCGGGAACGGTGGCTCAAGCTGGTGTTCCATGACAGGCCACAGCTATTCTGGAACGTGCTTGGCAGTTTCTTTTGAATTTAAAAATACACTTACTATGTGATCCAGCAGCCCCATTGCTAACTACCTTAATGAAATAAAAACATGTTCAATAACCTGTACACAAATGTTTATAGCAGCTCTATTCAGACCTGCAAAACATTAGGAACAACCCAAATACCCTTCAACAGGTGGTGAGAAAAACTGATCCATCCATACGGCACTACTGAAAAAAAAAAAAAAAGAGAGAGAAAACAAATGTCGATACACGGATGCAGAACAAATGCCGACGCACGGATGCACGCATTCTCATCAACCTCAGAGGTGTTCTGCAGGTCCCGCTGCTCTCGGCCACACACTGTAGGACTCTATTATGCGACCTTCTTGGAAAGACATAACTATAGTGGGGGAGCACAGGCGCGTGGCTTCCAGAGGTCGGGGTGGCGAAGGACAGGCGAGTGGCTGCCAGTGTTTGGGGTTGGGGAGGACAGGCGCGTGGCTGCCGGGGTCGGGGTGGGGGAAGACAGGCACGTGGCTGCCAGGGGTTGGGGTGGAAGGCAGGTGTGTGGTTGCCAGGGGTCGGGGTGGTGACTATGGGGAGACTGGAACGGTCTTCTGAGACAGCAGGGCTCGCCTGTCTCCCAGTTATGGTGCTTACCCAAATCTGCACAGGTGTGAACATCCATGGAACCGAATGTTCCATGAACAAAAGAACAAATCAATTTTAGTATGTGAAAATTTAAAAATGTTATTAGGGGCCAGGTGCAACGGCTCACGCCTGTAATCCCAGCACCTTGGGAGGCCGAGGTGGGGGGATCACCTGAGGTCAGGAGTTTGAAACCAGCCTGGCCAACATGGTAAAACCCTGTCTCTACTAAAAATACAAAAATTAGCCGGGCGTGGTGGCTCACATCTGTAATCCCAGCTACTCAGGAAGCTCATGCAGAACTGACTGAACCTGGGAGGCGGAGAATGCAGTGAGCCAAGATCGTGCCATTGTACTCCAGCCAGGAAGACAGAACGAGATTCCATCTCAAAAAAAAACAAAAACAAAACATTTCCCAAGGGAGATGAAAGGTGACATGAAAGTTTGGCAAATTTCTCCACGAGCTGAATAAGTGGCCCAGCAGCTCTACTCCTCGGTATAAATATTCAAGAGAAATGAAAACAAATATGTGTCCCCACAAAAACTTGTTCACAAATGTTCACAACTGCATTTTCAGAGTAGCCAAAAAGTAGAAACCGCCCCCATGTCCAGCAATGGGTGAATGGATAAATAAGGTGTGGTGCATCCATACAAGAGAATATTACAAGAGAATATTATTCAACCATAAAAAGGAATGAAACTCCGACGCATGCTGCAACACACAAGAACCTTGAAAATATCTTGCTGAGTAAAAGTGTCCTGAGTAGGCAAATCTATAGAGACAGAAGGTAGGTTTGTGGCTGGCTGTCAGGGGCTGAGGGGAGGGGAACAGAGTGACTGCTAAGGGAAGGTTTCTCTGCAGGCTGATGAAATGTCCCAAAATTAGATAGTGACGATGGTACCTCTGTGGGTTTGCACAGAGCCTGTCACTTCCCCAGAAGGCCACGAGGCGGCTGGGCCAGGCCTGCCCACGGGGCCGCTCCAGAGCATTTTGTCCCTCCGGGGCCTCGGTCTGCTTTGTGGGAGCCTCTTCATGCAGCAGCCAGCACCTAGAGATTTGTTTCAGTGCAGACCTCTGCCCCTTCTTCAGCCTGGAGCCCAATGCTGCTCTCACTGCGTCGTGGGTGCGGTCCTCTGCTCTTCCCCCAGGTTCCCCGGACCTCCATCTCCACTGCAGGGAGGTGAGGGCCAGGAGGACCATCTGGCTGCTCTGGCTGGCAAAGGACCTGCAAGGTCTTTCAGCTGATTCACTTTTAGCTCAGATTCTGCTCCGTGCCAGGGTCTCCCGGCGTGGCCAGCTTCCCCCTCAGCCCTCTTCTGCTCAACAGCCACCCACCAACCCACTTCCCACCTTCCAAAATGGGTTCAAATCCTCTGAGATGTTGGCTTCTTCCCCGTCTTTGTCCCTGTGGGAGGACTTTTTTTGGTCCCATTCCTCTTATTTCACAGTTCCATTTCGCTTTAAGTGAGAAGAGATGACCTCTTCTATCTGCTTTAACAAACTGCAGTGACCCAGCAAAACCTGTCATATAAAATAAATCCCCAAATAGAGAAGCCCAGTATGTTAAAGGCAAAACTTCAGAATCATTAGAAGAAAACATGACAGTGGTTTTCAGCCTCAGGGAAGGTCTGGATGTTCTGAGTCAGTCGGAAATAGCACCATTCATAAAGGATAAGATCAACTGATCATGCGTAGGGTTTAAGCTTCTGCACGTCAGGAACAGAAACACAGTTCAAAGACAACTGAGAATCTGTAATCGGGAATATCAGGAACTCCTATCAACCAGTAGAATAAGACCCAGACCAACAACCAGAAGAAAAATGAGAAAGATATCAACAGGTAATTCGCACGGGAGATAATCCAACGGAGAGGTAAAGCATGGTCAAGATGCCCGACTCTGCCGAGTCACCAGAGAAACGCATGTGACAGCGATGCCACTTCAAACACAGCAGGCTGCAGCATCTTCTCAATTCCAACAACACGAAGCGTGGGCAGGGATGGGAGCGATGGGAACCCTCCCCTGGTGTTGGTGGAAGGACTAGATGCAGCCCCTCTGCAAAGCAAGCTGGCAACTGCTAAAAAGGGGAGGCCTAGAAACCACCAACCCTCCTTCCAGGTTGACAGGAGACCCAAGAGAGCAGGTCTGGCTGTCTCCAGTCACCAAACCCTGAAGACACGGGAAGAGACTGGGAGGTGCTCTCTGGGGAGCTCACACACAGCAGTCAGAATCCACCATGCAGAGTGCCCAGCACAACAGGCACTAAAAGTAGCCAGGCTGAGTAAAAAGCCAAGCTACCTGCAGCTGTCCCAGTGGATGGTTTCTGCATTTTCAATGCAATACTCTTATTTGTGAATACAGAAACATACAGATGCAAAATTCTAAAGCCCAAGGAGAACTGAAACGCCACAATTCCTGCCACGTGGCCTGGGGAGCTGAGGTGAGGCTGGGAAAGGGAACAGCAAGGCTCTGTGACGCCCGCTTTTTAGGCCCAGTACACACTCACAGAACACAGACAATGCCTGTCGGTCAGTTCTGTGCCTGAGTTATTTTCTGCATTTTTCTACGGTCTTAACTTCTCAAACTACAACAGTGCATGAAGATGTCAAGAGACGACAACACTTTATCCTGGACCCTGATACAGATGCCCAATAGGTCCCAGCACAGTTGCCCTGATATTGAATGCGAAGCTGTGCCTACACCTGCCTGTGCTGTCCCAAGAACACACCACAGGGGCAGTGCAGCCAGGCCCCCCCCCTGCAGCCAGGCCCCCCCCCCGTGCCCCCAGGCCCCCCGGTGCCGCCTGGCCCCCCCGTGCAGCCAGGACCCCCCGTGCAGCCAGGACCCCCGGTGCAGCCAGGATGCTCGGTGGAGTCTGTACACAGACAGGCAGGACCAGGGCTGGCTCATCCTCATCCTGCTCTCACAGGAGTCCCTGGGGAGGCCTAGGAGAGGAGCTGGACAGGGAAGAACATTCCAGAAGAGGGAACACTGGGCTTCACACCAAGGCTCCAGAAGAGAGAGCTTACAGCAGGTAAGGAACAGAGAGAACAGCTTGGCTAGCTAGAGAAGGAGGCAGGGGCCAGGCACCCTGTGGGGAGGGATCTGAGAGAGGAGAGGAGGTCAGGAGGACCCGCAGAGGGTCACCACTGCCAAGGCTGGAAGCCGCAGGCAACCTGGAATCAAATGGATGCCACTGACCACAGAGATGTGAGTGGTTTAATAACTGTCTCGTGAGCTGGATGGCGAGCTCTCACATTTCACCCGCAGGCTGTGCTGTGTACCCCCACACAATGGTCTGAGTAGAGGCAGCATGGAACCAGACCCTCTCCCACAGCCAGCCTGGCCAAGGTGGCACAGACCAGAGCTCTGTGCAGACAAGCACCCAGGGGTCTAAGAACACTCCCTTCTCTCCAGGGGCCAGAGGGGAGAACCAAGCTGCTCGGCCCTCCTCACTCTGGCCAGCAGGAGGCCCTTATCCTGGAGCAGCCTTCCTCCTTTGTCATGCCCGAGGGACACAAGGTCATCCACTGCGCTCCTGCTACATGGGCACTGCTGGGATGTGCTCCCATACCGCGTGTCCCCACCCAGGGCCTCTCCCTTCACTGCACAGGACAGCAAGGGCAGCTTGTGCTGGGAAGCACCTGAAAACCCTCAGCCAATCCCACCACAGCCCTGGGCGAAGCCCGTCTCCCAGGCCCCTCCACACAGTCTCTGAAATCTGAGGACTGGCTGGTGGCTCCTGCCCCCATTACAGTGAACTTGGCTGCAGGCCGACACCCTCCCAAGCGCCCAAGCGCGGCCCCTGCCCACTTGTACAGTGAGGCCCTGGCCCAGTGTGGTGGCCCCTCAGTGAGCCGGCTGTGCCTGGCTGCCCCCAACCCCCAGACACCAGTGGGGGGCAGTTAGAGCCCTGTCAGGTCCACAATGGCCTTGATGAAGATGGCATCGTCCCGCACGTAGGAATTCTTGGCCTCCATCTTGGAGACAGGGCAGAAGAGCGGGCAGCCGCTTGCGATGTTCATGTCATTGACTGGCCTCTGAAAAGAGGACGAGGTCACGTCGGGCCTGAAGGCATCAATCACGTGCTCCCGGTTATTCTGGTCGAGCAGCATTAAGGTCACCTGGAGGAGAGAGCCCCAGGGAGGGGACACAGGTCTGTGGGCCATCTCGCTCTGGCTCCCGAGGGTCTGGACACCTGCAGGGCCACTAGCAGGAAGCCACAGGCACCCATCCCAGGACCCAGGCCAGAGGCTGAGGCCCAGCTGAGACCACATGGTGGGTGGCCTTGCTCCTGCCGCAGCGCCCGGGCTCCCCAGCCCTCCCCAGCCCCTGACATTCCGCTTCTCTCTGGGGAACCTGTGTCCATTCTGGCCTTTCCTGTCCACTGACATCTGGAGTCCTAGGCTAAAGCTTATCACTCCTGAACTTGAATTATTATGAGAAAAATACAAAAAATAATATATCTGGCAAAGACATTTTCTTGCCAAAGAGATCAGGAAGCAGCCATTGCCCATCCATGAGGAGCACTTTCCAGGGAGAACCTGAGCCTCTGTCGGGCCGTGAACCCAGATGCCCTGGGACAGACGAGGGCCCATGGGCCTTCCATACCCCTCACCCCGCCCAGCTCTGATCTGCCTCTGTCCGGCTATGAACCTGAGCCTGCCTCTGTCGGGCTGTGAGCCTGGACAGAGAGGGCCCTCCACACCCTTACCCCGCCCAGCTCTGATCTGCGTGCTCCATAGCTATAGGGCGTGGGGGAAGTAGCAAGCCTGGGCCAAGTGTGGCAAAAGAAAGGGACCTTCTCATTCCAGCCTAGTCTCTGGATCTTCAGTTCTGCAACCAAAAATAGATTCTGATTTTCAAAATAGGCCAGGGGTGGTGGCTCATGCCTACAATCCCAGCACTTTGGGAGGCCGAGGCGGGCGGATCACGAGGTCAGGAGTTCAAGACCAGTGTGACAACATGGTGAAACCCCCGTCTCTACTAAAAATACAAAAATTAGCTTGGCATGGTGGTGGGCGCCTGTAGTCCCAGTTACTCAGGAGGCTGAGGCAGGAAAATCGCTTGAACCCGGGAGGCAGAGGTTACAGTAAGCTGAGATCATACCACTGCACTCCAGCCTGGGCAACAGAGCAAGCTGCCGTCTTAAAAATAAATAAATAAATGACACCTCAGATGAAGAGGGCTCTGAAGCCGTGTTCCTTCCTCTGCACAGTCTCTCCAGGGCAGGGTTTTCAAACTACTGGTCCAGACGCCCATCAACATCTAGAGTCCTGGGCTAAAGCTGGGCACCCCTGAACTTGCATTATTTTGTGCTTTGTCCTTTTGTTCATTTATTTTTTAGAGCCTGGTCTTGCTCTGTTGCACAGGCTGCAGTGCAGTGGCGTGACCTCAGCTCACTGCAGCCTCAACCTACTGGGCTCAAGCAATCCTCCTGCCTCAGCCTCCAAATAGCTGGGAATACAGGTGCACACCACCACGCACGGCTAATTTTTCTATTTTTTTTGTGGAGATGGGATCTCACTATGTTGCCCAGGCTGATCTCAAACTCCTGGGGATTCAGCAATCCTCCCACCTCAGCCTCCCAAAGTGCTGGGATCACAGGGATACTCACCCTACACTTGGCCTCGTGCTTTTTCTTTTTTCTTTTTTTTTTGAGACGGAGTCTTGCTCTGTCGCCCAGGCTGGAGTGCAGTGGCCGGATCTCAGCTCACTGCAAGCTCCGCCTCCCAGGTTTACGCCATTCTCCTGCCTCAGCCTCCCAAGTAGCTGGGACTACAGGTGCCCGCCACCTCGCCCAGCTAGTTTTTTTGGTATTTTTTAGCAGAGATGGGGTTTCACCGTGTTGGCCAGGATGGTCTTGATCTCCTGACCTCGTGATCCGCCCGTCTTGGCTTCCCAAAGTGCTGGGATTTCAGGCTTCAGCCACCATGCCCGGCCGGCCTTGTGCTTTTTCTTAGTCATATTTATATTTATCTGACGGATCAGGAAGCCAGTTGCTTGTGTCAAGGACCAGTGCTCAGAAATCATGGAAACGACAGAAACTGCCAGAGCTCTCCACCACGTGACACAGCACCCCAGGGCGACGTGCCCGCTGCAGACGCCTGGTCCAGCGAGCCCAAGCCACCCTGTCCCGCACGACCCTGCACCACAGAAGCTGCACTGCCCAGAGGGAGTCTCGGGTGCGGCCCTCAGCAAAGCCTGTGGGGACGGCCTCACACCTTCTGGTTGAAGGGCCACCGCAGCAGGGCGTCATTCGGGCCCTTCATCACCACAAAGAAGAGGGACAGGTGTGTTCCTCGCCCGGTGCCGTCGCCGTTCAGGTAGATACGCAGACACATCTTGTAGCCGTACCTGCTGGTGTAGAAGGCTGTGGAGACAGGAGGGACGCCTGGTAAGCTGACACTCAGCAAGGGTGGGGCAGGGCTCTTCCTGTCTGGCTGCCCTCCCCCAGGGACAAAAACACCCACAAAGAAACATTCAGGTTCTGGGGTGCAAAGAAAGTTTTTTTCTCAAACTATGCAGTTAGTTTCCAATGAAAACAAATTTCATTAAAAAAAAAAAAAAAAGTAGTAATTAGAAAAATTAGAAAAAGTTTTTTTTTTTTTTTGAGACAGTCTCTCTTTCTTGTTGCCCAGACTTAGAGGCACAATCTCGGCTCACTGCAACCTCCACCTCCTGGGATCAAGTGATTCTCCTGCCTCAGCCTTCTGAGTAGCTGAGATTATAGGCGCCTGCCACCACACCCTGCTAATTTTTGTATTTTTAGCAGAGATGGGATTTCACCATGTTGGTCAGGCTGGTCTCCAACTCCTGATCTCAGGTGATCCACGCATGTTGGCCTCCCAAAGTGTTGGGATTACAGGCGTGAGCCACCGCGCCTGGCCAGAAAAAGCATTTTTTTTTTTTGAGGCAGAGTCTTGCTCAGTCGCCCAGGCTGGAGTGCAGCGGCGTGATCTCGGCTCACTGCAAGCTCCGCCTCCCGGGTTCACGCTATTCTCCTGCCTCAGCCTCCCGAGTAGCTGGGACTACAGGCACCTGCCACCACACCCGGCTAATTTTTTGTATTTTTAGTAGAGATGGAGTTTCACCGTGTTAGCTAGGATGGTCTCGATCTCTTGACCTTGTGATCCACCCACCTTGGCCTCCCAAAGTGCTGGGATTGCAGGCGTGAGCCACCATGCCCGGCCCAGAAAAAGCATTTTTAAGAATCCCAAATGTAACCCCCAAAACTTAAGAAGATGAGTAGAGGGCCGGGCGTGGTGGCTCACGCCTGTAATCCCAGCACTTTGGGAGGCTGAGGTGGGCGGATCACAAGGTCAAGAGATCGAGACCATCCTGGCTAACACGGTGAAACCCCGTCTCTACTAAAAATACAAAAATTAGCCGGGCCTGGTGGTGAACGCCTGTAGTCCCAGCTACTCGGGAAGCTGAGGCAGGAGAATGGCGTGAACCTGGGAGGCGGAGCTTGCAGTGAGCCGAGATCGCAACACTGCACTCCAGCCTGGGCAACAGAGCGAGACTCCCTCTCAAAAAAAAAAAAAAAAAGAAGATGAGTAGAGCAACACGGCAAGATCCACCAAATGCAGAGGTTGGGGCCTCAGCAGAGCTGTAGAGGGGAGCCCTGACTGGCCCAGGGCTTAGGGTGGGCCCCAAGCTTGCCTCAGAAGAGGCGCTTGCTAGAGTGAACCCCGAAACAAGCAGAGTCCACTTCCTTTCCACCCAACGAGACACAGACGCGAATGACAGCCAGAACGCGGCAGGGGCTGCTTTCCAAGCCACATGACAGGACCCCGCGTGCACACGTTTGAACACAGGGACCCCACTGTGGCAGCACCAGGACCAACCCTCCCTGTCCTTGTCCTCCACCGCGCGCCCTGGCCCATCCTCCCTGTCCTCGTCCTCCACGCGTGCTGCACACAAACTGGGTTCACCAGCATTGTTCAAAGCAGATGTTCCACACAAACAGGTCCTCCTGCCCGAGTACCGCCTCCGTGGCAGGGCCTCCCCAATGCTGACCCTTCACCTCACGCTTAGTGCAGAGCTCCCAGCATATACCATCGGCTGAGCCAAGCAGCTGCAGAGGGAAGGTCGCCACCAGAAAGCAGTGCTGCCTTTCACAGCCCTGGAGGAACAGGGCCACGCCCTGTAGGCTGCCCAGACTGTTCCCTCAAGTTCCCCCGAAACAATCTGTCATTTTCCAGTCTCAACTCCGAGGAGAAAGAGAGTGTGGGTTTTGTTTCTGGTCCTGCTGAAGGCCTCATCAGGACGCACCACACAGAACACGGCGGCCCCTCCAGACGGCGCCTGGGTCTCTTTCTGCCGGAGCACAGGAGCCATGGCCCCGCTGCTCAGGGAGTGTCGCCAGCAACGCTAGGCTCAATTCAAACAGGAAAGGTGCCTACAACGTCTCAGTCTCGATCCTAGAACCTAAGATTCTATCAGCAGGTTCACCAAGTCAGTGCAAAAATAAAGCCCACACGAGGGTGTTTCCTGAGCCACGTCAACAAAGGCCACAAAGGGAGTGCCTGAGTCGGGGATGAGACGATGACTGGGGCCGCCACGAGGTCAGCCAGGGCCTCAAAGGACAGCAGGGGGCCGCCTCTGTACTGCAGTGCCCAGAAGCACAGTCCTGGCAGGAGCCTGTGGCTGGGCGGCCACCACACAGCCCCTCTCCAGCAGTGCCCTCCAGGGGAGACCTCACGAGCACCCTCTCGAAAGAACTTGTAGTTGGGGAAAAAAAAAAAAAAAAGGGAGTGTGAGAAACACCGTCCCTGAGCTCCGTGTGGAAACTGAACCTGGGAGGGGTCAGACTAGCTCGGCCCCAAGGTCCTGGGAGCCATGTCCCACCCCCACGGCTACCCCCACCCGTCCTGTCTTTCTGGGAGCTGGGATCAGGCAGGAGAGCCTGTTGATGTAATGTCTGCTTTAGAGCCGTGTGCCGGAGGACCAGGCTATGGGTGACGAGGGGCACACCTCGAAGGCAGGCAAAGCAGGAGGGCAGCCAGCCCAACCCCCCACCCCCGATCCCTACCCAAGGGCACCCACTGGCCAGCCCATATTCGGCTGCCCCACTCGCCGCTCAGGGAGGCACCGCCGCTCCCGGTATCACTGGGGGTCGTATCTCAGCCTCCCTTGGGAGACGTCCCATGTGGTCACAGGGGTGAGGGGACCTAGGTGCCATGTAAACAACAGCCGCAGTGAGGTAGGGGTCCTAGAACCACACCTGGGGAGAAGATGGCGGGTGTGCGGCCGGCCACAGCTTCCTGGCGCTTCCTGGCGAAGTCTGAGATCTTCCAGATGAAGACCCCATCGTAGGTGGATGCCTCCATCTCCAAGACCTTCTGCTCCAGGTCAGCCATCGCCAGGTCCTTGAGGCCAATGCTCCTCTCCAGCTGCTGCACCTGCGGGGCGCCAAGACCACCTTCCCTCTTACCGGAGGGGGGTGGCACGAGCCCGCCTCCCACACCCACCGATCTCCAGCAGGACAGTGGTCCTGGGCACCCCTGGGCTCCGTGTTTCTCACGTCCACTCCCTGTACACAAGAACCCAACCCCACCCTGGCCAAGAGGGGGTGGCTCCAAGTCCACACAGAAGCTCCTGGCCAGCAAGCGTGCTGAAAAGCCATCCCAGGCCTTGCACATCCCCATGGCTGACTCTGTTCTCCCATCAGAGAGAGGAGGCTCCCGCCCACGGCCTGGTCTCTATGACCTTCCAGGGTTTGGGTCCCTCAGAGAACAGGACTCAGAAACGAAGGGGGCCAGAGCCTTCCATAGAAACCACGCTGGACTGGGGTTTGCAGATGGAGTTCTACACTGTTCAGGCTCTAAAGTTCCAGGACCTGCTAGAACCTGCTGGGGTGCAGACACTATCCCCCTTTACACTGTCCTCCTCATGGCTGGCCGCCCAGCAGGCACAGACCTTATTACTCAGGGCTTCAATCTTGTCTTGGTCCAGCCGGTGCTGCCGGCTGCAGGCCTCGGCAGTCATGGCCACCCTCTCCACCTCCCGGTTTAGGACGCAGACAATGTTCTCAAAAGTGGCCGTCTTCTTCTCCAGGTTCTCGCACCTCTGCAGGAGCTCTGACCCCGCATGGCTCTGGTCTCCCAAGAGAGGCTTTGCCTCCAGCACTGAGCTCAGGAGCATGGCCAGGTGCTCCCGCAGCCACTGTGCCTCGTGCTCTTGCTGTTTCTCACCCTCCACCTGCAGACACAGGGCAGGGAGGCTGCTGGCTCCACCCACCATTCAGCTCCCACCCGGGGACGTGGGCCTCGGAGCTGAGGAGACAGGCCAGAGTCAGAGATAGGGATGCCTGGGTGGCCTGGCCATGGCTGATCCCTCTTGTGCATGACAGACTGAAAGTCAGGTATGTTTAAAGAATATGAAGCTTGCTATAGACCTTAGTTGCAGCCAGGCACAGTAGCTAGCAACTGTGATTCTAGCACTTCAGAAGGCCGAAGCGGGAGGATCATTTGGGCCCAGGAGTTGGAGACTAGCTGGGGCAACATGGCGAAAACCCACGTCTAAAAAATTTTTTTAAAATGAGCTGGGCATGGTGGTGTGTGCCAGTGGTTCCAGCTACTCCGGAGGCTGAGGTGGGAGGATCGCTTGAGCCCAGAAGGGTGAAGCTGCAGTGAGCTGAGATCATACTACTGCATCTCTGCCTAGCTGACACAGTGAAACCCTGTTTGGAAGAAAAGAAAAAAGGGACGGGACGGGACAAAGGGAAGAAGGCGAGGGGAAGGGAGAGAGGGAGGGACAGAAAGGAAAAGAAAAGAAAAATAAAAGCAGCACACTATTTTTTAAAAAGTGACTCACGACCAGGCACGGTGGCTCACGCCTGTAATCCCAGCACTTTGGGAGGCCAAGGTGGGAGGATCACCTGAGGTGGGGAGTTTGAGACCAGCCTGGCCAACATGGCAAAACCCCGTCTCTATTAAAAATACAAAAATTAGCCAGGCATGGTGGCACATGTCTGTAATCCCAGCTACTCGGGAGCCTGAGTCAGGAGAACTGCTTGAACCCAGGAGAGGGAGGCTGCAGTGAGCCGAGATGGTGCCACTGCACTTCCAACCTGGGTGACAGAGTAAACTCTGTTTCAAAAATAAATAAATAAATACAAAAATAGGCCGGGCGCGGTGGCTCACACCTGTAATCCCAGTACTTTGGGAGGCTGAGGTGGTCAGGTCAGGAGTTTGAGACCAGCCTGGCCAACATGGCGAAACCCCATCTCTACTAAAAATACAAAAATTAGCTGGGCCTGGTGGTGTGCGCTTGTAATCCCAGCTTCCTGGGAGGCTGAGGCAGGAGAATACTTGAACCCAGGAGGTGGAGGTTGCAGTGAGCCGAGATGGCGCCACTGCACTCCAGCCTGGGTGACAGAGCAAGACTCTGCCTCTAAAATAAAATAAAATAAAAATAAAAAGCTACCCACAGGGGGAAGGTGAAGGGGTGGAAATTAGGCTGCCTTAAACATACCTCATTTTATAGACCTGACTTTGCAATTAAATTATTTTCAAATTTCCGCAACAAAATTTTAAAATGAGCCAGGCGTGGTCATGCCTGTAATCCCAGCACTTTAAGAGGCTGAGGCAGTAGGATCACTTAAGGTCAGGAGTTCGAGACCAGCCTGGGCAACACGGTGAAACCTCATCTCTACTAAAAATACAAAACTTAGCTGGGCATGGTGGTGCACAGCTGTGATCACAGCTACTTGGGCCTTTCATCACCTACTTGGGAGGCTGAGGCACAAGAATTGTTTGAACCCAGGAGGCAGAGGCTGCAGTGAGCTGAGATCATGCCACTGCACTCCAGCCTGGGTGAGAAAGCAAGACTCAGCCTCAAAAATAATAATAATAATAAATAAATAAATAAATAAATAAATAAATAAGAAAGACACTCTTAAAAAAAAATCACAGTAAAAGAAACAAATGGCGGCCGGGCGCGGTGGCTCACGCCTGTAATCCCAGCACTTTGGGAGGCCGAGGCGGGCGGATCACAAGGTCAGGAGATCGAGACCATGGTGAAACCCCGTCTCTACTAAAAAATAGAAAAAAAATTAGCCGGGTGCAGTGGCGGGCGCCTGTAGTCCCAGCTACTCGGGAGGCTGAGGTAGGAGAATGGCGTGAACCCGGGAGGCGGAGCTTGCAGTGAGCCGAGATTGCGCCACTGCACTCCAGCCTGGGCGACAGAGCGAGACTCCGTCTCAATAGGAGAATGGCGTGAACCCGGGAGGCGGAGCTGGGGAGTCGAGAGATTGCGCCACTGCACTCCAGCCTGGGCGACAGAGCGAGACCTTGCCCCGGAAAAAAAAAAAAAAAAAAAAAAAAAAAAGAAACAAATGGCTCAGGCCTGTAATCCCAGCACTTTGGGAGGCCGAGGCGGGTGGATCACGAGGTCAGGAGATCAAGACCATCCTGGCTAACACAGTGAAACCCCGTCTCTACTAAACATGCAAAAAACTACCTGGGCGTGTGGTGGGTGCCTGTAGTCCCAGCTGCTCGGGAGGCTGAGGCAGGAGAATGGCGTGACGGAGATCGCACCACTGCACTCCAGCCTGGGCGACAGAGCGAGACTCTCTCTCAAAAAAAAAAAAAAAAAAAAAAAAGAAACAAATGGACTTACATGTACACCCAGCTAGAGGCACAGCCACCCAGAGAGCAGAAGGGCACTCAAAAGACAAACAGCTGGACGAGAGCTTGCCCTGCATCTGCTCAGAGACCGGTGCCGCTGGGACCACGCCGTGTGCGGCATGGAAAAAGCAGGCCCTGGCTGAGCCTGGGGTGGGCGCCAGCATGGGGAAATCCTTTGTGCAAACGGGAAGCGAGTGTCACCACAGACTCATGCTGTGTTCGCTCTCATTCCTCAACACCCAAAGGTCCAGAAACAAGGAGCACAGTGGCAGCAGCGAGCACCACTGAGGCCCAGGTGGTCTCTAAACAACCTCCCACACGGGAAGCCCGAGCTTCCTGGAGATGGCAGATGCCAGGTTGGAGCGGGAAACAGACAAGAACACGGAGAGGGGAAGACTATCCAACGCAGACAAAGAAAACGGTCCTTTTCACCGTTATTAGGAAGAAAACACAATACCTAAGGCCACACAGAATCAAGTCAGCAACTGACTCTACTACAAATACCATCAAGGCATCCCTGTCTCCAAGCAGGGAAGGTGCCTGCTCAGCGAGCTGGCCGGGGGAGGGTCTGCACCCACGGCCTGCCCCTCTCCATCCATCAGGCACACACCTCAGCTGGGGGCCACCTCTGGGCCCAGTACTCCTCGAGGGTCCTGATCTCAAGGGGCTCCTGTTGTACAGGACAAGACGGACAAGAGACAGAGACATGAGGTGCTGGCGACAGAGGGCCAGAGTCTGCAGGGGTGGAGCAGGGGGGTCCACCCAGAGAGACCCAGGCGCCTGGCCATTGTGCCAGTGTCCAAGTGCCTGGGGTGGGCACAAGTGGGCATGCCCAAGGAAGCTCAGGCCAGCGAGCAGGGCAGAGGAGATAGCCAAGGGGAGGGAAAGATCACAGGAACAGGCCGCTCTGAATGAGAAGCTGTGAGGAAGAGCTGTGATTGATTCCCAATTGTGAACAGGCCAGAGCGGAAAAGAACAGGGGTCCCGTAAGCGCCTGAGTCTGGGTCCCAGTGAGAGATGAGGACGACGTGGACAGGGCAGTGACGGCTGGGGAGATGGGGGGTCCAGGTGTCCAGAAACCATGTGAGGGCAGACGAGATCTCTGTCAGCCTGAACGTGAAGTGTGAAGCGAGAGGAGGGGCCCGAGTGCCTGTTGGTGGCGGAGGGCTTGGCGAGAGCCGCTGGGTTAGAGTGCTGCCCTTTTCTGAGTGAGATAGGGGCAGGGAGACGGCAGCCAAGAAGTGGTCGTGGCGAGTTGGCCGGGTACATCTGAGATGTGCACTCAACACCCAGGGAGGCTCAAGGCGACAGGTGGGCACAGGCATTGGGCATCCTCAGAGACAGGTGGCAGTCAAAGCCAGGCACTACAACACCACCACGAGGATGGGAGTGGACAGGGCTGCCAGCCCAGAGACCAAGCTGGGGACACTCAGACAGCCACGGTGGGAGGCAGTGCTGCAGAAGAGGCTGAGGAGCAGCCGGAAGGAACCCAGGAAGCGCTGGGCTGGAGGCAGTGAAGACCACGCCCAACCTCAGACCCCCAGACTCACCGTCTCGAGGCAGCCGATGGCGTGGAATCTGCAAGGGACTCGACACTTGCCGCAAGTCTTGACGTGGTCCTGAAACTACAAGGGAATGGCGTCACAGTGCCACCTTTCTCTGTTCTGATGCATTTCAGTACTTCCACACAGACCACGGTGATTTACACAGAGGGTTACATGACCTGCCCCATTGGCCTCTTCACTCTCACACTGAATGAAACCCAACAGCCCGTTTCCAAAGCAACATGTGCACACAGCCGTGCACACACCTGTGCGTACATGCACACTGTGCCAGTAACTGAGATGGGCAAGCGTTTCGGGACACCTGTGGAGACCCCAGCTTGTGTGTTACATGGCACGCCTGTCCTTCTATCACAGTCCACAGGACATGCAGTGCTGAGGCCCCAGGGCCTAGGTTCAAAACCCAGAGTCAAACACCCACTGCTCACCTGGTGCGCGGTGGTGCAGGATGACACAGACACAACATGAAGCAAAACGTAAAATCCAGAAAGGGGCCAAGTGCACACAGACACTCACATATGACACGAGCATCGAACCAGGGAAGAAACAGAGCCCAACACTGTGGTATCTGACACCGGTCTAAGGATGCGGGAACAGCCCGAGGAAAAACATGAAACCCAAGTCCCTCCTCCATTTCCCAGGTGACATGGCAGGTGTGTCGCAGCCCTGGGTGTGAGAAAATCAAACCCACAAACATCAGATGCAGCACAGGATTCCCACATACCCGGGACGAGGGAAACGGCCCTAACTGTGAATCAGTTTCCAGAAACAATAACATAAGAACCTTGCACAATTCCCCCCAAAACAAACAAAAAACCAGAAACACCATTAAGTGGGCGGGAGTCATAAACAGCAAGAGAAGCACAGATGTGCTCGGTCACACCACAGCTTGGGAAGTGCCCGTCAGAAGCCCCGGAGACTCTGCTGTCCCTTGCCACCCATTGGAGGTTGGTCTCAGGGTCCCTGAAACCCAAGGATGCTCGTCCCTGATGGAAGACGGCAGAGTGTTTGCACAGAGCCTAAGCACACCCTCCCTTATACCTTAAATCAGCTCTCGGTGACTCACGACCATTGCAACGTGAACGCTGTGTCAATAAAAAACATCCACGCATATTCAGTGCATTTTTCCCTGAACATTTCCAGTCTATGGTTGGCTGGATCCACAGCGTGGACCCGCGACACAGAGGACTGATGTGCTTCTCACACGTCACAGTGGCAACGGTGCTCCCACAATGCTTATGGAAATGCAAATTTCCGAACTGCCGCACAGCGCTGCGGACGGGGGCCTGACACGTTTCCCTGTGAGGTCTCAGAATGCACTTTTTTTTTTGCAGTTTTCGCTTTGGTGCCATGTAACCATTTTACGAAATTACAAAACCTTTTTTTTTTTTTTTTTTTTTTTGAGACGGAGTTTCTCTCTTGTTGCCCAGGCTGGAGTATAATGGCACGATTTCAGCTCACTGCAACCTCTGTCTGCCAGGTTCAAGCAATTCTCCTGCCTCAGCCTCCCGAGTAGCTGGGATTACAGGCATGCGCCACCACGCCTGGTTAATTTTTGTATTTTTAGTAGAGACGGGGTTTCACAATGTTGGTCAGGCTGGTCTTGAACTCCTGACCTCAGGTGATTCGCCCACCTTGGTCTCCCAAACTGCTGGGATTACAGGCATGAGCCGCTGCACCCAGCCCTTTCTTTGGGGGGGAGGCAGGGGAGCGGGGACAGAGTCTCACTCTTGTTGCCCAGGCTGGAGTGCAGTGGCTTGATCTCAGCTCACCACAACCTCCGCCTCCGAGGTTCAAGCAGTTCTCCTGCTTCAGCCTCCTGAATAGCTGGGATTACAGGCATGTGCCACCAAACCTGGCTAATTTTGTATTTTTAGTAGAGACGGGGTTTCTGCATTTGGTCAGGCTGGTCTCAAACTCCTGAGCTCACGTGATCCGCTCACCTCCCAAAGTGCTGAGATAACAGGCGTGAGTCACCGCGCCCAGCCTTTTTTTCTTTTTTAAGAGCAAGCTTTAAAACTCAAAAGCAAGGCCGGGTGCGGTGGCTCAAGCCTGTAATCCCAGCACTTTGGAAGGCCGAGGTGGGTGGATCACGAGGTCAGGACATAGAGACCATCCTGGCTAACATGGTGAAACCCCGTCTCTACTAAAAATACAAAAAACTAGCCAGGTGTGGTGGCGGGAGCCTGTAGTCCCAGCTACTCGCAGGCTGAGGCAGGAGAATGGTGTAAGCCCGGGCGGCGGAGCTTGCAGTGAGCTGAGATCGCGCCACTGCACCCCAGCCTGTGCGACACAGTGAGACTCCGTCTCAAAAAAAAAAGAAAACTCAAAAGCAAAATGAAACAAATGTGCCTCCCTGGCATACTGAGACAGCTGTCTGCCCAGAGCCTGCCCAGAGATGCTGCTTAGAATGACTTATCACACAGCAACTCAATACAGACTCTAAAAGCAAAGAGAACTAGAAAGAGAACTTCGTCATCATATAACTCGCCACGGATCACAGTCAGTGCTACTGACACTGTTCTTATGTACAGCAATGTCAACAGGAACCATGACTTTCTGTAGAAAGGAGACAGCAACATGGAAGTTGGGTAAGAATCTGAAATGCAAACATCAGTGTGAACCCACAAGGTATTTTCTCTTAAAATAAAGCAAGGATCCCTGTGCTGTCACTGAAGTATTTTCGGATGAAACACTGGGCTGCGGGAAGAAGTGGAGGCAGGAATGGAACAGAACGGGCACTGGACACCCCCGATCTTGAGCCGCAGCAGGGCCCCAAGTTCTAACGCACTCTCTTTCCTCTGTCCAGGCTCCGAAATTTCCACCACTGGAAGCTGAAGGAGAAGAGGCCAGGAATCTGGTGTGTGTGCAGCATGCTGGGAATGGGGGTGGGAGCGCCCAGGGAGGGCAGGTGTGAGAGAAGGCGCTGCTGGAAACGAGGAGAGACAAGCCGCCCCACGCTGCCCACCTGGGCCATCCACGGAGCTGAAAGCCAGCTGGGTGCCTGGCCTCTGTAAGCCTCAATTTCCTCATCTGATAAAGGGTGCCCTAGGGTTCCTGTGAGGGCAGGAGGGCAACCCCCAGGCCCCCAGGAAACGCTAAACACCGCCCGCCTGTGGTTCCTGCCAGTGTCATCATGAAGGGGCAAACACGTCATCAAACAAAAGGTGCCCGTGACCGCCGAGGCTTCTGGGCTGTTCGGCCATGAGGCCCAGGCCCACTTCTGTCCAGCGAGCCCCACAGGCCAGCCTTCAAGGGACCAGGTCCCAACACACACCGCCCCATGCTTGGCTCAGCCCTGCACATGTCCCAGGCAGCGGTGAGGAACCCAACCAAGCCCTGGGAGCGTGGTCACCAAGAGAGGCTCCAGCAAAACCAGCAAAGATGGAGAGGAGGGGCTGGGAGGACGAGACACAGCCTGAAGGGAGGCAGCTCTGACTGATAGATAGCAGGCCAATAGTTTACATCGTCAAAGAACAAAAGCAAATCTTTAAAAAACCTCACATTTTAAAAGAACCCGAAGCAAATGAACTACACACCACATCTAACATAAACTCAAAGAAAAAATGTATTCCAATTGACCTCAGAACATGGTATGTGGACCCTGCGTCTTGGTAAGATGTACTTCCAAGAACAAAAAAAGAGCTGTGAAGAAACAGGTGGCCTCATCACCAGAAGTCACGTTGCTGGTTTTTGTTTATTGTTTTTTTGAGATGGAGTCTCACTCTGTGGCCCAGGCTGGAGTGCACTGGTGCGATCTTGGCTTATAGCACCCTGTGCCTCCCGGGTTCAAGTGATTCTCCTGTCTCAGCTTCCCAAGTAGCTGGGATTACAGGAGTGCCTGTGCCACCACGCCTGGCTAATTTTTGTATTTTTAATAGAGAAGTGGTTTTGCCATGTTGGCCAGGCTGGTTTTGATCTCCTGACCTCAGGTGATCCACCGGCCTTGGCCTCCCAAAGTGCTGGGACTGCAGGCGTGAGCTACCACACCCGGCCTTGCCTTCTTTTTTTAGACAGGCTTTCACTGTCACCCAGGCTAGAGTGCAGTGGTGTGATCTCAGCTCACTGCAACCTCCACCTCCTGGGTTCAAGCAATTTTCGCACCTCAGCCTCCCAAGGAGCTGGGACTAGAGATGTGCAACACAATGCCCAGTTAATTTTTGTATTTTCAGTAGAGACAGAGTTTCACCATGTTGGGCGGGCTGGTCTCGAACTGGCCTCAAGTGATCCTCCCGCCTCAGTCTCCCAAAGTGCTGGGATTACAGGCGTGAGCTACCACGCTCAGCAGGTATTTTTAATTTTAAACCTACTCTATATATAACATAAAGCAAATATGTTACCAGTGTTAGGAACCAAGATTTGCAACACTAAAAAAAGATAAGAAAGGCCGGGCACAGTGGCTCACACCTATAATCCCAGCAGTTTTGGAGGCCGAGGTGGGTGGATCACGAGGTCAGGAGTTCAAGACCAGCCTGGCCAAGGTGGTGAAACCCTGTCTCTACTAAAAACACAAAAATTAGCTGGGCGTAGTGGCAGGTGCTGGTAATCCCAGATACTCAGGAGGCAGAGATTGCTTGAACCCGGGAGGCAGTGCTTGCAGTGAGCCGAGATCGCGCCACTGCACTTCCAGCCTGGCAACAGAGCGAGACTCTGTCTCAAAAAAAAAAAAAAAAAAAGAAGAAAAAAGGGCCAGACACAGTGGTTCACACCTGTAATCCCACCACTTTGGGAGGCTGACGCGGGCGGATCACGAGGTCAGGAGATTGAGACCATCCTGGCCAACATGGTGAAACCCCATCTGTACTAAAAATACAAAAACAAAATTAGCTGGGCATGGTGGTGGGCATTTATAGTCCAAACTACTCGGGAGGCTGAGGCAGGAGAATGGTGTGAACCCGGGAGGCAGAGCTTGCAGTGAGCCAAGATCTCGCCACTGCACTCCAGCCTGGGCGACACAGCGAGACTCTGTCTCAAAAAAAAAAGACGGGATGAAAATGCACCATGCGCACAGAAAGCCACGTGTTCACAGTGATGGGGACAAAGTCCACCAGACACCACTGTGCTGCCTGGGCGACTGTCTTCGTCTTTCACTCTGGAAACAAAGTCTCAAGGAAAGAATCACCTCCTGACTCCTCCGTAAACCCCCTCAGGACAGACAAGCGCTGATGCAGACTAGGGCATGCGCAGAGGGCGCCTCTCAGGGGCACCTCCAGGCCCCACCAGCAGGAGATACAGCCTTGCAGACACGGCCCCCAGGTGGGCATCCTGGCCTCTGAAGGGGGAATGGCAGCAGCCACAGCCTCTATGGTGCTCCGACGAGACAAACCCCCCATCAAGCTTCGAGTGTGAGTTTCAGTCTCCAGGCGAAAGGAAAGGACGCGTTCAGACAGCGCTTGGCCAAGCTCACAGTGTGGGGCATTTCACAGACAAGTGGACAGAGGTGAGGAGACAGCCCTGTCCCGTCCCCCAGCCCCACCCATTTCAGGGCTTGGGCTGTGACCTCTATTTAAACAGAAGCAAACCAGAAAGACAGGCACACACCTGTCGGGCTGAGCTTGCGGGCGGGCCCGGCCAGCCTGACCCCTCCTGTGGCTGCCCAGATGGGGACTGCCACCTGCAAGACCTCCACATCCGACCTCTGACACAAAGAGCGGGTGCCACCTCCCCTTCCAGAGCTTCAGCCTCTCTGGACGAGCTACCCTCACCTCCAACAAGGGAGGCAGTCTGGGAAAACATCTCCATGTGTATTATTTCCCAGCTTCCTTCCTAAAGGTGTCATCTGCAGCAGTTAACTCTCAACTGGGCGAGAAGCCATTTTCCTGACAGAGTAAGGATGCCAGGGATGAGGTTCTGCCAGGCGAGGCACCAACATTTCACTGCTGTGGTGGCAGACCAGACTAGGGCGCCCAGTCTCCACTCCGGCTGCTTGCTGCAAACACTCAGCATCAAAGTCAGTACCAACATTTCTCGTAAGCAGCACATGGAGGGCTATGAGAACTTTAATGTTTCATTTTCAGGATAACTGGGAAATGACTTGCCCAAAAGTAAGCAGCTGTGTACACTGGAGGATGAAGAAGAGGGCTCGGGACTCAGCCACCTGGCCCCCGGTCCATTCAGGAGAGCAGCCGCCACCGTGAACGCATCCATGACCCAACGTTACGGGGGCTTTGCACTGCGGTTCCTTTGGGCACAAAGGTCATAACCTGTCCCAACCCCCACCCCACGGGACCCTCACGGCCAACACATGGGCCCCGCCCTGCGGTCCTCAGAGGACATGAAGGACACTCACCTTCTCCCTGGGGATCTTTTTCTTGCCGCAGCCATCACAAGTCAAGGGGAACTTGGGGCAGACCTCGTGGTGCGCCTTCAAAAGAAGTGATCAGGAGCATGAGGCTGGACGCCAATGCCAGGCATGGGTGGCAAGTGGGGGTGGAGGGTGGCACACAGTGCTTGGGCTGGGTAGCGCTGAGGGGCTGCAGGAGCACGTGGTCACCCTCGAGCCTCGCAGGACGGTGCTCCTTTTAAAACTTTTAAAAAAAGTTTTAAAAAAAGCATTTTTGTCTTAGAAAAGTCTAAATGCATCAGGTAGAGAGTGCAGCGGTGGGTATGTGTCCGTCCTCGCCAGGCCTGGGCGTTGCCCCCGAGACAGTTGCTCAAAAAAAAGAAAAAAAAAAACTTTTTTTCTTTTTTTTTGAGACGGAGTCTCACTCTGTTGCCCAGGTTGGAGTGCAGTGGCGCAGTCTCAGCTCACTGCAACCTCTGCCTCCTGGGTTCAAGCAATTCTCCTGCCTCAGCCTCTCGAGTAGCTGGGATTACACGCACGTGCCACCACACCTGGCTAATTTTTTTTTTTTCTTTTGTGACGGAGTCTCGCTCTGTCACCCAGGCTGGAGTGCAGTGGCGCAATCTTGGCTCACTGCAAGCTCCGCCTCCCAGGTTCACACCATTCTTCAGCCTCAGCCTCAGCCTCCCGAGTAGCTGGGACTACAAGTGCCCACCACCATGTCTGGCTAATTCTTTTTGTATTTTTAGTAGAAACGAGGTTTCACCGTGTTAGCTAGGATGGTCTCGATCTCCTGACCTCGTGATCTGCCCGCCTCGGGCTCCGAAAGTGCTGGGATCACAGGTGTGAGCCACTGCGCCTGGCCACGTCTGGCTAATTTTTTGTATTTTTAGTAAAGAAAGGGTTTCACCATGTTGGCCGGGCTGGTCTCAAACTCCTGACCTCGTGATCCACCCACCTCAGCCTCCCAAAAGCACTGGGATGACAGGCATGAGCCACCGCGCCCAGCTTACAAAAATGTTTTTGAAAGGCCTCGGCATTAACTTTACACCCATTCCCAGTTCTGCCAAGAAACATCCACCTGCATGTCTCCAGGGAAAGAGCCGAGGCGGGGAACGAGTGCAAAGGGGCCAACGCAGCCCCAGTGGCCAGCACGCAGCTCCCCAGCTCAGCCCCGCATGGCTGCAGTCACACAGGTTGCTGCTCCACCGCACGCACCTTCCCGTCTGCCCCGCAGCAGGGCGCCCGGCAATGCCGGCAGCTCAGGCTTCTCTCTGGGCACTCGTGCTCCAGGTGGCGTTCCTTTTCACCCAGGCGGACCAGGCCTTTGCATGCAGGACATTCAGTCAGCATGAGCGGGCAGCGGCCTTCGTGGCAGCTCTGGCAACAAAAGGAGAAAGTGTCAGTAGAACTCACGTGGGACATTTGGGCAGCCACAGCTTCACCCGAGGACACCAGGCGATATAATGCCAGTTTGGTGTCTGCATGCGGGTCCTCGGTGCCATCCTCCCCGCCTGTCCTGGGGGCCGCCCTCTGCAGGTAGCTCTCAGGGCTCCCACAGGTGGGAGGGCAGGAGGAGACTGGTGTGTCCTCGTCTCCACTCTCTCCGCCCCACCCTGAGCTGAGGGGATGCTCTGCCACGGGGGTCTCTGTGTAGGTGCCTCATCACCGCCAGACTCCCCTATCTGCCCCCTAAAACAGCCAAGTGCACAATCCCTGCTTTGCGCCAGCGGGTCCCTGCCACACACACCAGCTCCTAACCGAGAAAGCAGGCCACGCTCTTGCTCTGATGACCAAGCAAACACGGTCCAGGCTGAGTCTTGCCAGTCCCAGCCCCATCCTCACTGTAGGTGGGAGGTGTGAAGGGACAGGGAACATGCACAGGAGATAGCATGAGGGCAGGTGGCCTCTGCCTCCAGCACCAGGAAGCCAGCAAAGGCCTGAGGCACAAGCCCACCAGGCCAAGGTGCCAGGAGCTAGGCCTGGGACAGGCTGGTTCTAGCTGCACAGCACATACATTGGAAAGGGCCTAAGCTACAAGGAAGACAGGCGAGGGCCAGTGACACACAGGAAGGTCATTCAGGAGCCCACGCATTCCCACATACTGAGCCACCCATGAACTGGGCAGAGGCCCTGCCCTCCTGGAGCTGACAACCTGATAGAGTGACCACCGGTGCCGGAACACCAGGGAAGGCAGGCAGTGGAGGCAGGGCTGGGAAGGTGCCACAAGATGCAGTCTAGGGAGGCAGGAGCCGGTGCTGCAGGCTAAGTGTCAGGTGAGGCAGAGGACTGTGGACGTCCACAGATGGCCAGGGTGGCAAGGGAAAAGGACACAGAGGGAAAGGAGGCCGCGCCAGCTCCTCGCCATACCCAAGCCAGGAACAATCTAGAATGCAGGATGCAGAACCCAGTCACCTCTCTGACCCACTGCTGCCCCAGGCAGGGCTTCCTGGACCATTTTGAGGGCTCTGCCCGGATGTGAGGGGTCGGGACAGCAAGGTGACGGGACGTGGCTGAACCCTTCCAGGACTGCCTGGCAGCCGCGCTTCTCACAGACTCTAAGGTTGGGAAGCCGCGTGGTCACAGGAGGAAGAACGGGGTGGCAGGCACCACAAAGGTGCTAGTGGAAGGGGAGAGAGGGTGAGATGCAGGACGTGTCTGGGGAGCCACGTGGACCTGCTGGCAGACTGAATGTGCTCTTACAGGGACACAGAGAAGTCAAGAAGGACTCTCAGGCCTCTGGCCCAAGCCACAGGAGGTCCCGCCTGCCTCCATAAGGGGCCGGTGAGGTGTGGAAATAAAACTAAGCAAGGCTTTTTGTTTTGTTTTTTTGAGACAAGGTCTCACTTTGTCACTGATATGGTGTGGCTGTGTCCCCACTCAAATCTAATCTTGAACTGCAGTGCCCATAATCCCCGTGTTGTGCGAGGGGCCCGGTGGGAGGTCACTGAATCATGGGACGGGTTTTCCCCGTGCTGTTCTCATGATAGTGAATAAGTCTCATGGGATCTGACGGTTTTATAAAGGGCAGTTCCCCTGCACATGCTCTCTTGCCTGCCGCCATGTGAGACGTGCCTTTCTCCTCCTTTGCCTTCTTCCATGATTGTGAGGCCTCCCCAGTCATGTGGAACTATAAGTCCATTCAACCTCTTTTTCTTTATAAACTACCCAGTCTCGGGTATATCTTCATAGTAGTATGAAAAATGGACTGATACAGTCAATTAGGCTGGAGTGCAGGGGGTGCGAATATAGGTCACTGCAGCCTTGACCACAGCCCCGCACAGCTGGGACTACAGGCACACACCACCACACCCAGCTAAATTTCTTTGTATTTTTGGTAGAGCCATCTTGTGTGTGTGTGTGTTTTTTTTTTCTTTTTTTTGAGATGGAGTCTTGCTCTGTCACCCAGGCTGGAGTGCAGTGGCCAAATCTCAGCTCACTACAAGCTCCGCCTCCCAGGTCCACGCCATTCTCTGGCCTCAGCCTCCCAAGTAGCTGGGACTACAGGTACCCGCCACCACGCCTGGCTAGTTTTTTGTATTTTTTTTAGTAGAGACGGGGTTTCACCATGTTAGCTAGAATGGTCTCGATCTCCTGACCTCGTGATCTGCGCATCTTGGCCTCCCAAAGTGCTGGGATTACAGGCTTGAGCCACCGCGCCTGGCCATTTTTTTGTATTTTTAGTCAAGACAGGGTTTCACTGTGTTAGCCAGGATATTCTCAATCTCCTGACCTTGTGATCCACCTGCCACAGCCTCCCAAAGTGCTGGGATTACAGGTGTGAGCCATCACGCCCAGAAGTAGAGCCATCTTGCCCAGGCTGGTCTTGAACTCCTGAGCTCAAGCAATCTGCCCACCTAAGCCTCCCAAAGTACTGGGATTACAGGCATGAACCGCTGTGCCCGGTCAGATTTAAACAGGTCTTTTGGGAGAAGTCTGCTATGACCGGGAACAGAGAAAGGGAATGGAAGTCAAAGGAACATGGAGTTGAAAATCTGCTAAGTTTCTTGAATCATGATAAACATAAAATGCATCATCTTAACCATTTTTCAGTGCACAGTTCTGTGGTATTAAGTACATTTCACTGATGTTACGTAACCATCACCACCATCTACCTCCACAACCCTTTCCATTGTAGAAACCTGAAACCCTATCCCTGTTAAACCCTAACTCCCCATTCCCCTCCTCCAGCCCCCAGCACCATCCCCTGGCTCTGAATTTGACCACTCCGGGGACTCTGTCAGTGAATTCATGCAGTATTTATCTTCCTGTGCCTGGCTTAGCTCACTGAGCACAACCCTAAGTTTTGAGACAGGAGAGACACTACAGCACATTCTGTACCGATGGGCGCAGCCCGGAGAGAGGAGGACAACGTGCTGAGAGGAAGGTTCCCGAGAGGCCAGGACAGCAGAGGACCTGGCTGCAGGGCCCTTCAGGGAGTGGGGAGTGGGGATCAGCAGCTCCATGGAAAGCTGGCTATAGCTCAGAAGCCCCAAGTGAAACAGGAAAGGGTTAATGACACCTCCCCGGAGAGGGGAGACCCTGCTCTGGACGGCACAGGCACTTGGGCTGGCTTCCCTTCAACCTCCCTGGGGAGTGTTCTTCCCAAACCTTCATACAGATGCTGCAACTACTCCTCAGAGGCGCCCCAGGGTACACGGGCCCAGCCCTCCAAGACCTCCCATAGCACTGGTCCAAGCTAAGCCTGCTAAAGGAACCAACTCCCTGAACCCGACAGCGCCTTGCACTCTGCTACCCACTGACGGGACAGGACCTGGCCTCGGCCGCACTAGTGTGTAACAAGCCACCATCAAGCTGAGTCAAAGACGAGTCTCAGCAACTATTATGGCTTATGAAACAACTATTATGGCTTACAAAACAACTATTAAGGCTTACGAAACATAAAAACGAATCCACAAATAGTCAGTGTTCTTAGATTTAATTAAAAGACTGTTCTTTAGGCCGGGCGCGGTGGCTCACGCCTGTAATTCCAGCACTTTGGGAGGCCGAGGCGGGCGGATCACAAAGTCAGGAGATCGAGACCATCTTGGCTAACATGGTGAAACCCCGTCTCTACTAAAAATACAAAAAAATTAGCCGGGCACTGTGGCAGGTGCCTGTAGTCCCAGCTACTTGGGAGGCTGAGCCAGGAGAATGGCGTGAACCTGGGAGGCGGAGCTTGCAGTGAGCCGAGACTGGGCCGCTGCACTCCAGCCTGGGTGACACAGCAAGACTTGGTCTCAAAAAAAAAAGAAAAAAAAAAACACCTTTCTCTTGGGACTTGGTACTTGAAATCCCCAGTGGGGACCAGGGATGTCCTGCAGCAGATACATCTACACCAGCACCATCTGTCTCAGTCTTCTCCCCACTCACAGCGGCCACAGTTCAAAAAAAATCAATATTTATTCAGCCAGAATTCAAACTAAACATTTGACGCAAATACAGTCGTCATCCCTCTGAATGTCACTAGAATGTCCATGAGGCCGAACAGACTTGGCTTTTCCCGGCCTTTCCGTGCTCGTGCAGCCCGTCTGTGTCCCCTCTGGAAGGTCTCCCTGCACCCCCACGGTGGACCCAGCTGCCAGAACGAGTAGCTCCGGGGCTGCTGGGGAATTCAGCTCTGCTTTTAGCGCTCAGCAAGCACTCCATCAACGTTTACCTAAAGTTTTAAAAAAAAAATCACTCGATTTGGCCAGGTGCAGTGGCTTATGCCAGTAATCTCAGCACTGCGGGAGGCCAAGGCGGATGGATCACTTGAGGTCAGGAATTCAAGACCAGCCTGGCCAACATGGTAAAAAACCCCATCTCTACAAGAAATACAAAAAATGAGCCAGGTGTGGTGGCAGGCACCTGGAGGCTGAGGCAGAAGATTCGCTTGAACCTGGGAGGCGGAGGTTGCAGTGAGCCGAGATCGCGCCACTGCGCTCTAGCCTGGACAACAGAGCAAGACCCTGTCTCGAAAAATAATAATAATAAATAAATAAATAAAATCATTCAGTTCCTAGAAAGGCATCATTGCAAACGACAAACATACTCAAAAGCTAAGCAGGAATTCCCCCTTTTTCAACAAAGTTCAGACCATCAAGAAAGAAAAGCAGCCTTAGCCTCAGGACTGTGTTCACAATAAGGCCCCAACTAGCAGCACACTCTGAACAACCTGAGCACAAAGAGAGGCGACTCAGGCACAGCTACGCCTGCAGAACTGGCTCCCAACTGCACAGAGAGGGTTTGATTTCCATCCCCACGTGTGACATTTACAGCCAGTGAGAGGTTTTATCAATAAAATCAAAGGCCACGGCCAAGCTATTCCAGAGCAGTGCCCGCCCCTCCCACATGACCAAACCCGGCTTCTCTCAGGGACTTTCCAGAGCTCTCAAAGGTGCAGCCAGGGACTTTCCACCCTGCGTGCCTGCAGGACCGCGTGGCACCCCAGCCCAGGGGCTGGCTATAGTCCCTGGCCCTCAGCCAGAGGCCCTCATAATTGTCACTGTTGCATCCCATGAGCCTGGAGGTGGCAGAGACCCCAGAGGCCTCAGGGTCCAGTGCAGAGCTGGGAACTATTATCCCACCTGTCCCCCAAGCACCTCTCAGTCCTCTCAAAGGGGTAGCATAGCACCCCTACTCCCTGCAGCCAGCTGGTACCCTGACCCTACCAGGGAGACCCTGACCCTGGGCCACCTCCCCAGGGAGCCGTCTCCTTTGCAGACAGCACTGGGCAATGACCAAGCTGCACCTCTTTAGAGGAGCAGGGAGTGGGGTGTACGATGCCATGCACCACAAATGCTCGCGCAGCAGAGCCACACAGGGGCCCAGAAAGCCTTGCATCGCACGTCGTGGCTGCGGACGGTCTGGCATCTCTGTCCACAGAGGCAGGAGTCTCACTCCATGTCCAGGACACAATCCCCGGGCTAGGGAGGAGAGCACATCTCGTTCACCCCAGATACAGCTGGGACGGTTCTTCTGAAAAAACGAAACTTGGAGCCCAAAGACCACAAAGCAGAGTCTCAAAAGATCGAGGGAGGCGTGGCCAGGCTCACAGGGCAGGGAGGGGGAGAGGAGAAACCCACAGTAATGCAGGTCCAATTCCAACCCAGCCGGCAACACCCCAGGGTCCAGCTAAGCAGGAGATCCCAGACCCAGCCTGGGCAGGAAGCTCCCTTAAGTGCAGAAAGCCAGGGTTCCAAGCAAACAGCCCTCACAGCCTCACCAACCTGAGGCTGGACTGGATGGCATCAAGGTACCGCCTCACTTTGAGATTCTAATCTGTGACTCAGTGCTCACTGAACAATGACCCCTGCCCCTCCATTCTACTTCCTGTGCCTATGGATTTGATGACTCTGGGGGTGTCCCCCAAATGGAATCACAGAGGGTCTGTCCTTTGGTAACTGGCTCATGTCACTCAGCACACTGGCCTCAGAGTTCATCCCTGGGGAGTGTGTGTCTGAATCTCCTTCCTTTTTAAGGCTGAATCATATCCCACCGTGTTCACAGATCACACTTCCCATGTTTATCCATCATCCATGGACCCTGGGCTGCCTCTACCTTTGGGCTCGGTGGACAGTGTTACTCCAGGAATCCTGTACAAGGATCTCAGAGAGAAACCTCTTAAAGGGCACTCATTATGACAAGAAGGAAGACCGCGTAACTTGGCAAGACGTAGTGGCCTTGACTAGCTCTCTCGGCACCTCCTGGCCTCTACACTACAGGTTAAGTTTCCAAATGCCTAAAAGGTGACATGAGAATCACACTGAAATCCCCAATGCGCCAGTGCAGGAACACAAGCCCGCCTCGCCCAGCACACAGCTTGCCCAGTACACAGGGACAAACCACGGCCAACTGAAGTGCAGGCCACTGCCTATGTTGCTGTGACCACAAGACAAGGGTGTCCATTATTTCTGCAATTTCCAGTGTCAACACAATTCAAAATAAGAAATCCTCTGTGGATACAAGAGACACAACAAAAACCCCCACCAAACTCGAAAGCTGCAGGCCCCAGTGCACAGCGATCTCCCCTTCATTCCCAGGGAACGCTACCACTTAGATAACCTTAGATAATCACGGCATGCCCAAGGCTCACACAGGCACCTCCAACCCTCACAGTTACCCCACGATGGTGGGATCCTGCACTCCCATTGACAGACAAGAAACCTGAGGCACAGAGAGGGTAAGTACCTCGCCCGAGGTCACACAGCCCCAGCTCCATGGTGCAGGTCTGTGCTCCGCACTACTTGTGTTTCTAAATGGACATACTCTAAGAAGCAGCTCCGTCTCTTCCTCCACAGACATCAGACAGGCTTCAGCCCCAGTGAAAACGTGCAGGACAAGGTCCCAACCGCTGGGGGAGCGTGGGCGACTCCCGACCGCTGGGGGAGCGTGGGCGACTCCCGACTGCTGGGCTTCTGTCACCGTGCCACACACAGGCATCTTTACCTCATATTCTTTCAGGGTCCCCTTCCAGGTGCACCCATCAATGGGACAGACGGCCGGCAGGCTCTCCACCTCCCTGCGGGCAGCATTATCTGGGAAAGCCTGGGGAGAGGAACATCCCTCAGGTTAAACCTCCTCCCAGTCTCCCTGCTGCAACCGAGGAACACAGGCCACGCGTCCAAACCAACCAACACTGCGTCACGTCGCCTTCCCAGGCCACTCCAGGAGCAGAGGATGACTCCCTGATTCCATTTTTTTTTAGACTCACCTTGATCCCAAAATTTCCAGACCCTAAACTTCCCGAGTCTGCTAAGGGACAACTTCTGGCTGCCCTTTTTTTTTTTAAGGAGGGGTCTCACTTTGTAACCCAGGTTGGAGTACAGTGGCATGATCTTGGCTCACTATAACCTCTGCCTCCCAGGCTCAAGCGATCCTCCCACTTCAGCCTCCCAAGTGGCTGGGACTATAGGCGTGCGCCACCAAGCCCAGCTAATTTTTTGTATTTCTGGTAGAGATGGGGTTTCACTATGTGGGCCAGGCTGGTCTCGAACTCCTGACCTCATGTGATCCACCCACTTCGGCCCTGCAAAGTACTGGGATTACAGGTGAGAGACACTGAGCCCGGCCCCGGCTAAGTTTTTTGTTTTTTGTAGAGACAGGGTCTCACTATGTTGCCCAGGCTGGTCTCAAAATCAAACTCCTGGACTCAAGCAATCCCCGTGCCTGGGCCTCCCAAAGTGCTGGGATTACAGGTGTGAGACACTGTGCCCAGCCCCACCCATACTGTTAAATGAAACTGCCGGGCCGGGCACGGTGGCTCACGCCTGTAATCCCAGCACTTTGGGAGGCCAAGGCGGGCGGATCACGAGGTCAGGAGATCGAAACCATCCTGACTAACATGGTGAAACCCCGTCTCTACTAAAAAATACAAAAAACTAGCCAGGCGAGGTGGCGGGTGCCTGTAGTCCCAGCTACTCGGGAGGCTGAGGCAGGAGAATGGCGTAAACCCGGGAGGCGGAGATTGCAGTAAGCTGAGATCTGGCCACTGCACTCCAGCCTGGGCGACAGAGCGAGACTCTGTCTCAAAAAAAAAAAAGAAATTAAGACATTTTCTGTTTAACATTTTTGGCTTCAAGACATTTTACTTACCGAACTGCTTTCTAAAATAGAAATGCCTTCTTCATATATGCCCTCGTGAACACAGGCAGCACAGTTCTGAGGCCCAGAGCTAGTGGGGAAAAAAGACAAAAAAAAAAAAAATCCCACCGTGAAACTTAATACAAAAAATAAATGAACACCATTTGCTTCAGTTCAAAAACCTACCTCCACACCGCAGTTTCTTTAAACTTTCTCATCGTTAGTGAAACCAACAGCAGGCAAATGTTAACGGGACATGTTTTAAATCCCAATATTCACAGGACAATGTTTCTATCGCTCCCCGATTGTGAAGAAGGCGCGCCTGAACTGCCAAGGACACTGGCTGCAGTAACTCAGGTGCTGCCGGCTCTCCCCATAGGCCGAGCTGCTGCTGACGTGCAGAGGCCACGCCTCTCACACCACTGGAGCAGCCAAAAGTGAGCAGTAGGCGGCACTTTAAACCTTCCAGTACTCACATTAAAAATAATAAAAAGGTGAAATTAACTATAACGATGTATCATATTTAACCCCATATATCCACAATAGTATTTCAAATTGTTATTTTAAAATTATTAATTTTACATTCTTTGTGGTAAACCTCCGAAATCCAGGGAGTATTGATAACTAGAGCACATCTAAGCTGGACCCGGCTCTGCCGGGAGCTACCAGGCTGGGCAGCGTGGCTCTAAGGCTAGCCTGGCCTGCCTGCCCCTCCTCCCAGCCTGCGGGCCCCGTGCACCTGAGGATGCTGGCCAGGCAGAAGGAGCAGTACCGGTGGCCACACTGCGCCTGGAAGGGCCTGCGCAGGACGTTTCCGCAGGCGGAGCACAGGTACTTGGCTTCCAGCTTGGTTCCCAGGAGGGTCTTGGAGAAGCCAGGCTGTAGCAACTCCAAGGAGCCAGGGGGGGTCACGCTAGCTGCAGCCATAAGAGCTGTGACCCCCGCTAACGACCAAGCCCTAAGGAAGAACACACAGCACGTTACACCTCAATTCCAGAACAATCCTCGAGAGAAAACCAAACCGATGGTGATCAGTAGCAGGCGATGGTGAGGGGCCAGGTCCCCACTGACCTGCAGTCAAGACTCGGAGAAGCAGAATTGCAGAGCTTTGGGGAGCCTTGGAGACCCTCCAGTCCCATCTCCCGCCGCTAGTACGGAAACTCAGGCTCAGTGAGGGTGGGGACCACATGGCTGGCATCCACATACCCAACCCACAGCTCCAAAGAGGCACAGACGCACGGGCTTCCTGTCATGCACACCCCCTCCCCAGCTAGAGGAACAAGCTGCCTTCCTGTTAACATTAACCGTCAGAGGTTCTCAAGGCTCTAGGCTCTTCGGTCTCCCCCATGGTTCCCACAATAAGCATGTTTTAGAGTGGTGGATGCCTTCTGAACTATCTTACCAAACCCACTGGGCAGGAGATGCCTGCCTGCCAGCACTCAGGCCCTGCAGGCACTCAGGAGAGAGCCATGCCGCCAGACCAGCCCCTAGAACAGCAGTGCAGCACACCTGGGGTTGGCTAGTGCATTCCCTTTAGCTACCCATGGGTTTCCCCTCACTTCAGATGACTCCATGAGCCAGCCCTGCCCTGACCCCTTGCTGTCCACTAGAACTCAGCCCCACCAAGGCAGCCACGGACAGCCTCAGTGCCCTGCACCACGCCCTCTCCTTCTGTCTCTCTAGGCACCAAGGCCACCACAGATGGCCTCAGTCACTCCGTGCCGTGCCCTTTTCCTGCCTCTCTGAGCATCATCCAGCCAATCGCCGCACCCCACCCTTCCTTTTGGATTAACTGTGGCTCTTCCTCCCTCAGTGTCCCGGGCAGAGACTCCACTGGGCTCTGCTCTCCTGTAAGAGCACCCCGAGGTGGGTTTCCCTCTCCCCTTCCCATCACGGAGCTCCTGTTGTGCGGGAATCCCAGGAAGGGGCCTGGTCAGGGTTGGGCTGATGCTGAGGACAGAGGAAGGGAACAATGAGAGCGAGCAGTTACCCGGCACACTAAGCGTTTTCTCTCTTTCTCAATGAACTACAAATCTCACACCTGTAATCCCAGCACTTTGGGAGGCTGTGGTGGGCAGATCATGAGCTCAGGAGATCGAGACCATCCTGGCTAACACGATGAAACCCCGTCTCTATTAAAAATACAAAAATTAGCCAGGCATGGGGGAGGGCACCTGTAGTCCCAGTTACTCGGGAGGCTAAGGCAGGAGAATGGCGTGAACCTGGGAGGCAGAGGTTGCAGTGAGCCGAGATCACGCCACCGCACTCCAGCCTGGGCGACAGAGCAAGACTCCATCTCAAAAAAAAGGGGGAGACAGCACTCGGTCCCCGTCAACCCTGTAAGCGGTTTGGGTAAAGTCTGAGTCCAAAGACTTCAAAGTTTCTGGCTGAAGTGAAGTTTGTTCACACGTGCTGGCCCCATCAAGCACAGGGAACTTCCGGGACACAGACGCCCAAGAGAACAAACTCAAAACACAACCAGACGGCAACCATGGAGCTGCCCAAGCAGCAACAGGAAGCTGTGGATTAGAGGCAGACCCGTGCATCTCCACAGCCTCATACCTGGAACCAGGGCCAGGCGTGAGGACCCGAAACCCCACGCTCCTTCACAACGGCCTCCAGCGCCTTCTTGCGGTCGCCATGGGGGCACGTGTCACCTGATGCTCACCTGCCACACTCCGCCTTCCAAAAGCAGCCTGAGGGCCAGGGCTAGCTCTAAGTATGCTCTGTCTCTGGTCCTGGCCCCTGAGAGCCCAAAGAAAGGGGGTGGGAATTGGGGTCATCTCTCTAGCAGGAAAGCAGTCTTGATTCAGGGAACTGGGGACAGCTAGGGAGGGACTTCCAGTGGGGATGGGGGGACTCACTCCTAGAAGGGCGACTCCAGGCAGACCAACCTCGGAAAGAGGTGGAGGAAGGACAGGGGCATGGTGTCAGCTGAGATCCCCAGCAGGCAGCCCAGGGAGGCAGAGACTGACAGGCAGGCCCTGGCCTGAGGGTGGAGGGCAACTCCCAGAGTCCTCTCCCCAGAGGGCAAACTGGGGTGGCATTTTATTTACTTAAGGAATGACTTATCAGAACCATTCCTTTTCTTTTTTTCCTTAGGGTCTCATGCTCTGTCACCCAGACTGGAGTGCAGTGGAGCAATCTCAGCTCACTGCAACCTCCACCTCCTGGGTTCAAGCAATTCTCATGCCTCAGTCTCCCAAGTAACTGTGACCACAGGTACACGCCACCACACCCAGCTAATTTTTTGTATTTTTCAGACGGGGTTTCACCATGTTGGCCAGGATCGTCTTGAACTCCTGGCCTCATGTGATCCACCAACCTCGCCCTCCTAATGTGCTGGGATTCCAGGTAGGAGCCACTGTGAATGGCCCATTCCAACATTTAAATAACAAATGCATTTTCCATTTTTTCTCCAGGAAGGACAGTGGATGGTGACTGCTCTGTGCCTGGACAACAGCCCCAAGATGGGGGCCTTGCTGTCCTACTTGAGCCTGACTGATGCCTCCAGGCAGGCTGTTAGCTCAGCCACAGGTCCTAACACTGCACACCTGCTCTGCTGTCTTTCCAAGGCCCGAGTTGCCAAAAGGGTGTCCTGGAAGCCTTGGGTCACTTGCAACCTCGAAGCAGCAGGGACCCCCGCAACAGGCAGAGCAGCAGCAGGAAGGCTGCAGCCACAGCAGTGAGGAAAACGAAGTGTCACTGTGTGCCCCTGACACAGCGGTGTGGGTCACCCAGTCCCAGGACTGCTCGCCTGAACGGGGCTGACCTCTCCCAGCAGGCCCAGGACCAGCAAGTCTTGGATGGACCCAAGAGGCCAGAACACTGCTGAGGCCCTCCTCTCCTCCTCTCACCTCTGCCCCAGTTGCTGTCCCAGAAAGAGGTCTTCCCAGCTCTCAGGACCGCTCCGCCATTCACCAGGGACTCAGCCAAACTCAGGAGGCTTTCACTTTTCTTGCGAAACAGGCGTCTCACTATGTTGCCCTAGCTGGAGTACACTGACTATTCACAGGCGTGATCACTGCACACTACAGGTTGGAAGTCCTGGGCTCAAGCGATCCTCCTGTCAGTTTCCTGAGTGACTGGGACTACAGGTGAGCGCACCTCCATGCCTGGCTATCCAGGATGCTTTCTGAGCCCACTCCTTGTCCAATCACAGGCCAATCCCACTGGCTCTGCCTCCACGCTGCCAGCACTGGCCCCTTCTCTGGCCCTGACCCTGCTCTCTGCTCCTCCTTCACACCCACACTAATAAGGCACCCCTCCCTGAGAGCTCCCCAGGAACATCCTGGGCACTCAGAAGGAAACCCAGCCACTGGGTTTAGGCCCATCTGGTCTTATCCCCCACCATCCTCATGATGCCCCCAATCCCCCTGCTCTCCTCTGTTCCCTTAACACTTTTGCCCTGCTTGGAAGAGTCCCCGGTGCTGGTCCCTATGGATCTGCACACCTGCCCCTTGGCAACCCTGAGTTAGGCCTAAGCAGCCTGCACCCAGGACAAGGCCCAGCAGCCTTCTGAGACTTGCCTCCATCTCCCATGTAATGTCCCCAGATCTCAAAAAGTGGAAGGACAGTTTACCTGTAAACCCCTGAAAAAGGGCCACGACCGGCCGGGCGCGGTGGCTCATGCCTGTAATCCCAGCACTTTGGGAGGCCAAAGCAGGTGGATCATGAGGTCAAGAGATCAAGACCATCCTGGTCAACATGGTGAAACCCCCGTCTCTACTAAAAATACGAAAATTAGCCGGGCATCGTGGTGTGTGCCTATAATCCCAGCTACTCTGGAGGCTAAAGCAGAAGAATCGCTTGAACCCAGGAAGCAGAGGTTGTAGTGAGCTGAGATCACACCACTTCACTCCGGCCTGGGTGATGCAGCAAGACTCCACTAAAAAAAAAAAAAAAAAATAGGCCAGGCATGGTGGCTCACACCTGTAATCCCAGCACTTTGGGAGGCCGAGACGGGCGGATCACGAGGTCAGGAGTTTGAGACTAGCCTGACCAACAGGGTGAAACCCCATCTCTACTAAAAATACAAAAATTAGGGCCGGGCGTGGTGGCTCAAGCCTGTAATCCCAGCACTTTGGGAGGCTGAGACGGGCGGATCACGAGGTCAGGAGATTGAGACCATCCTGGCTAACACGGTGAAACCCCATCTCTACTTAAAAAAATACAAAAAAACTAGCCGGGCGTGGTGGCAGCCGCCTGTAGTCCCAACTACTCAGGAGGCTGAGGCAGGAGAATGGCGTGAACCCAGGTGGCGGAGCTTGCAGTGAGCTGAGATCTGGCCACTGCACTCCAGCCTGGGTGACAGAGCGAGACTCCGTCTCAAAAAAAAAAAAAAAAAAAAAAAATTAGCCGGGCGTGGTGGCGCACGCTTGTAATCCCAGCTACTCAGGAGACTGAGGCAGGACAATCACTTGAACCCGGGAAGGAGAGGTTGCAGTGAGCTGATATTGCACCACTGCACTCCAACCTGGGCACTGCAGCGAGAATCGGTCTCAAAAAAAAAAAAAAAAGTAAAAAAGAAAAAGGGTCACTACCACACGGATCCCAAATAGGAGGTGCTTTTTAACTCAGAAAAAGTTAGGCCCCAAGACAACCACCCTCAGCCTCTTCTGCAAACATTCCCCAAAGCTTCCTTGACCTACCTCACCAACAGAAGCACGTTCCAAGTGTCTTCCCCCAATGGTGCGCCAACCCTGCAGACCCATGGGGCCAGCCCCTCTCATCCTCCACAGGAGAGACACGTGGACTGCCAAAACTGATGCCGTGTACAGGAGAGGGGAACGCACAGGCAGTGACCTCATCCCTGAGCTGCGCTCACTGGCCTGAATAGGGCTGACTCTTGAGAAACTGTGACAAGACTGTCAGTCACCTCTCTGCCCCGCAAAGCCAGCAGTGGTGTGCTTTCAATCCCTGCTTCTGAATCTGTAATTTAGTGAGACCTTGCACTCATGTGGTACTTCAGAGTTCAGAAAACATGCTTATAACCTAAACTTACTCCTCCAAACACCCAACAGAGGGGATGCTGGGGTTCTGCCTGCCCAGTACTCAAAGTCCCTTGGTGGGGAGGCCACACCTGTTTCTCCCTCTTTCTCGAAGGTAGGTGCACCTGCTCCTGGGGGCGGCAGCGCTTATGCGGATGTTCCGGAGCTCACAGATGCACACCAGCTGTGGCAAACTGAGGTAGGAGCCTGCTCACCAGGACTGCACCCTCAGCACGCGTTTATCATGACACGTGGAGATGCGCTACGTACACATACATCACTAAAACCTCACCAGGACTGCACCCTCAGCACGCGTTTATCATGACACGTGGAGACGCGCTACGTACACATACATCACTAAAACCAAAGGTTCACAGAACTACACTTCGTCTTCATGAGAGGCATTCTGAGTGTTCTGTTTTCTTTCTTCTGTTCTGATCAGAAACTATTACATTGATTTCGTGAGCCACTAATGGTGTATTGATTTATTTCTGTTTTTTTCTGAGACAGAGTCTCGCTCTGTTGCTCAGGCTGGAGTGCAATGGCGTGATCTAAGGTACAACTGCCGCCTCCCAGGTTCAAGCGATTCTCCTGTCTCAGCCTCCTGAGTAGCTAGGACTACAGACGCCTGTTACCACGCCTGGCTAATTTTTGTATTTTAGGAGACAGGGTTTCACCATGTTGGCCAGGCTGGTCTCGAACTCCTGACCTCAGATAATCTGCCCCCCTTAGCCTCCCAAAGTACTGAGATTACAGACATGAGCCACTGTGCCCAGTTGAGCCACTAATAGTTTAAAAAGGTTTAATGGTTTTAGAAGTGGCTTCTAACCCACTTTGGACAAACAAATTTTCTATTTTTAAATATCATTAGTTTTTTTTTTTTTTTTTTTTTTTTTTGAGACGGAGTCTTGCTCTGTAGCCCAGGCTGGACTGCAGTGGCTGGATCTCAGCTCACTGCAAGCTCCGCCTCCCGGGTTTACGCCATTCTCCTGCCTCAGCCTCCGGAGTAGCTGGGACTACAGGCGCCTGCCACCTCGCCCAGCTAGTTTTTTGTATTTTTAGTAGAGACGGGGTTTCACC